TAAAAAAAAATTAATATCTAAATAAATCAATTATTTAAAAAATTAAAATTTGATTATAATGATGTAAAAACGTGTTTTAAAAGTTCACGTTTTGTTTTCATAGTAGTTGATGGAATTTGTATGTTTTTTTTATATGTATATTTACCCCTACCTATGCTAGTTATGTGGTAAAAAGATGAAATGAATTACTTGAATATTCGAGTATCTATAGGTATGACAATAGTGCCATGTTCATCAGGGTGCCATTTCTCTATAGTACATAGTAAAAATCTGAAAATTTGATCTAATGAAGAGTAACTATAGGGGAGTATTCTCTACAAGTTTCAAGTGAATTGATTGAACTTTCACTGAATTATGAATTTTTTAGTGTAATTGGACGATTTTGTCCAAATCCATGTTTTCAGTAAAAAAATTATAGCTCTACAATGGCTCAATGAAAATCAATGAAAATTTTACCAAACATAGTCAAAGTATAGGGCTATCTAATGAAAACAACCGCGACTCTATAAGTCCTTCCGTTCTGGATTTATGAGGTCCACAATAATAAACACTATTTTCGCTATAACTCCCTTATACTAAATGCAATCGGGGCGCCGGTTGTGTCGCTGAACTACATTCATTGAGTACTATATACATACAAAGTTTCAGATGAATAGCACTTGTAATGGCTAAGATACAAGGGGGGTAGTTACTTTTGACCAGTACTGTATATGTGTTGATTGACCTTCTCATCTATTTTCTCTCCTTATGTAAACATATCTTCAATCAATTTTCATGCGTAACTATCTCATTTAAATAATCATGAATAATATATTTGAAATATCAAGTTTTTATTTTATATATATGATTATGACACAAGTTTTCTATGTCCTATCTTCTCGTAATATGTCATTAAAAAGTCGTTTACCCATCTCTACATAGAAATAATGTATACATTATTTTTTGAGACGATTGTTTCATATGTACAAACGAATAATGTTCGACACGCACTGAAGCGTTTTTTTGTCATTCATCTAAGGGTCATTTACTAATACTGATACGGTGAAAGAACAGACTGATGAACATATAAATACTCGCTCTTATATACACATTCATATTCAATTTTATTCTATATAAAATATCAATACTTACAATGTACGGTGGACAACAATATTATAATATGGGTAAGAATAATAAAAATAAATTTATTTAAAATTATTTATAAATAATTATTTCTTAGGAAATCTAGGAGCAATGAGTGGTTATGGTAATAATCTTGGTTTCGCTGGTTATGGTCGTTCAATGTATGATGGATTTGCTGCACAGAATTATGGTGGTTTCGGAAGCACTACAGGTTTTTCTAATTTTACTACTCCTGCAACGTTCGGAACTGGTTTTGGTTCACCATATGGATATAATTGGTATTGAGTTGTTATAGCTGACCATTGCTCTGTATTATGATGAAGTTCAAACAAATGTATTAATTACAAATTTTGTTATTAGAATATTTTTTTATGAATCTTTTGTAGTATTCAGCAATGAATAAATAAAATATCTTAAATTTAAATTTGAAATTAATCTTGATCATGAAAAAAAAACATTAGATTCTTTTAGATTACGAAGCTAATAAAATGATTTTGTTTTTGTTCGATACGATTAAAAAATAATTCAATATTTGACCTACTTCTCTCACAATAAACATAGATATTCAATATACCTACAAGATTCAGAGATGCGAAGTGTCATATATGTATATTCATATGCTATACATAACATTTAAACGTTAAATATAGAAAAAAAAACTATTTGTTAATTTTTTCAATGCGATTGAATATTTCTTTCATCTAGATGGATAATAAAAATAAATGAAATAAAGGACGAATAATAACTTTTAATACAAGGTGACTAGAATATCATATAAAGGTTATACATACATCATTATAAGGATATTTTTAATCATATATTTTCTATTATTTATTTCTTCCAACTAATGTAATATTGTTTGAGAGCTGTGGCTCTCACTATCGATCTACATAAAAAAATTGTTGAACTATGAAAGATTGTAAATTTTATCTCAATTTGTTTGAAAATTATGAAACAAATATTAACAGCATCTGATTAGTCTTTTTGTCAATTTTATCGTGCATAAAATATGTTTCAGATCATTAGTACTAGAGTAAAATACGATCCGAGACGTATCGCATAACATCACAAGATGGTTTTTGATATATAATGTATGAGTCAAATATCGTTAGTATTGGTCTCATAATTTTTGTACGAAACGGGATAAAAATTTCGGCCTTTCGTAGATGTGTAGTTCATCAGTTTTAAATTCATTCTAACATCATAGAACAGCATTCTATGATCATGGATTACTCTTTCTTCAAGAACTATAAATTTCAATCATTTTATAAGAAATAATGGTGAAAAACACAGTTCTCTATCTTTTGAAAGTGAACAATATTTAAATGATGCTACAAGAGAACTAAAATGTACAAAAAATATTTCTAAAACAAGTTCATGAACAATTTTGTTTAGGAAACTGTATTGTCCCGTCTACAAAAGCAATTAATTCAAAAAATTTATTATCCGATTGTATAAATTTAAATCATATATAAAAAAATTCTGCAATTTTTATCTAATAATGAAGCAGAGTCAAAAACATGATACAATTAGTTAAATTTGAGTGCACTAAAATCATCTGTAGAATAAACAGATAAAAGCGAGTTTTGTTTTTTGACGATCTTCGCTGCCTGAGACATCATCTTTTTCTTTGCTTTCACAACGAAGAGAAAACTAAATTTTTGTTGTTCTTTTACACTTATTATACAATAATATAAGAATGAACAAATTAGTTTATAAAATATGAAAAATAAAATTAATTATAGCTGAATAAGTAACAGTAATGTTTTGAATCAATACATATATTTTCCATTGAAGTATAATTAAATAACGAAAATTATTTAAATATATATATTTTTTTTTGTTCTTAAATTTTGATCAAATAGTTTCTGTATCAAACAAGATTAATTCTTATTTTAATATTATTCATAAGATAAATTTATTCTTCCATCAAATCATGATCAATTACTTGTTTATCTTTTAAATAGTCATCAAGGTCATTCCTTTTTTTTTTATTTCAAAACTTAATATTAAAGTCTAGCAAACATGTGATATATTATGGAAACAAGCAATTGATAAAGATTATAAACAATCCACATTAATTGGTGCATATATCGAATAAGTAAAAGAAAATAATTGATATAAAATACTTTTATTTTGTTTAGTTAATGAAAATGAAAAAAAATATTTTATGGTAATTATTAAAATAAATATATTAGATCGAATATGAATGATAAATATTGATTATTTAATAGAATAATTTATAACTTAATATTTAAGTATTCAAGGAAATATTGGTTATTTAATATCAACAACAAATTCAACTATATTGTAATAAATAGAAATATTATATGTATTTGTTTAAAAACAATAGATTGATTATTCTTTCTAAAAAATCTTCGAATTTACTTAGAAGATACTACAAATAATAATTTCGATAGTAGAAAATCGTATAGTACACTAAACAAGATATTTTTTTCGTATGTATACTCATAAATGAGATTATCTCATACAATAATAGTATAAAAGCATTGTTTTGGTATCATTATTTATGAATGATTATGCTAGAAACACATAACAGTTGATAATATATATGTCTGATGTGAATACAAAAGATATCGTTCGATTGATACAAATTAAATGCAATCAAAGTCCAAACAAAATAGTTGAAGATACTTGCTGTCAATCGAAATAAAATCAAATAATCAAACGAATATGTAAAGAAAAGACGCTGTCATATATTTTTTCTTTATAAGCTTCACTTATACATACAATATTCTTTGTATTTTCGATTTTTTTGTCGTTGATTGGGAGAAAAAAACAAGCAAGCAGTTACATATACAAAAAAAATACATATCTCATTTTTTATCATATATGTAAGACGCGTTGCTTATGATGACTGGAAATAAGAAAAAGAAAATTGACTCATCGATTACTTATCTCACATCAACGAAATACAGGACGATAATTACGCTTAATAGGTGAATACGTATGAATTTCCAGTCATCACTGGTTTTGAGTAAATATTTAATATGTAATTACTGTTTTAGGAAGCAGAAATTTACTTTTTCATATAATTTCTTTAAATTATTACGAATAAAGATATAAAATACTCACATTTCAATATAAATAAGGAAATTTTAAATCGTGTACTATCATTTTTGACTTAGAAGTGATATTACAAACAAAAACAAAATGAAAAAAATAAAAATTGTTATTTCTCTAACATTACCAACATCAAACATATTAATTATAATCATAGTGATCATAAACTTTGTTTTAATATTGTTTATTTAACATCAATTCACTTATATTTTTATTTTATTACTTAAGTTTTAAATACTACTTTAATGTAATAATGTATGAAAAATATAAATAATCTTAAATTTTTTTTATTTTTATTTTTAATATCAATTTTCAGATGATTTAAATCAGTTTTTCCCCTTGTAATTTATAGAAACTATAAAAAAAATAAATTTTCGCTTCAAGAAACAGTAATCAGCGTTTAAATATTTTATGAAAACTAGTGATGACTGGAGATTTGTCACACGCTTACCTCTTAAGCGTAATAACAGGTCGTGTATTTTATTGATGTGAAATAAGTGATCGATGACTCAATTTTCTTTTTCTTCCTTACAGCCATGATAAACGACGCCCCTCATATATATGATAAAAAAATGAGATATGTATCTTCTTTTGTATGTAATTGCTTGCTTGTTTTTCTCTTTCGATCAAGGACAAAAAATTGAAAATAAAAAGGATATTGTATGTATAAGTTAAACGTATAGAAACAAAAATACGAAGCATTTGCTTTTTACATATTTGCTTTCGTTTATATTTATAACGAGCGAATTCGACTCTTTTGTTTCGATTTTGATTGTATTTGGCTATTACTTTAAGGTAATTACTACTATACGATTTTGTGTTTAGTTTATATCATTCAAATGATGTTTTTTATATTGAAACTAGTTGCTCTATTTGAAAGTAGTGTAATTATACACGTAGCTATTAGGATTTTTCTGAATTAGATTTATCGAATGACAAAATGTAACACATTTTTTCTCTATTCAAAGTGAGGCATAGTTTTGAGACCTCCTACTTCATCCATACACTACTAAAAGAAGTAGAATACAGAGTCTCTACAACAAACACCGAAATATATCACATAACACTACAATTGATTACTACTGGAGAATGTTTTCGACTTTGAGTAATTATCCATTACTATATATGAAAAAATAAGTTTAGCTTGAGATTTGATTTAATAGCTAATAAATTCATGATAATGTAAGGTCAATATAATTAATGAATTTATTATTGATCACCAATACTATTCATGTCAGACGGTTATGTTGCTATTGTTTTTGATGTAATTGTATAATGTTTGATATTTATATTTGTAGCATCAGTATTTTGTATTTCTGGTTGAAAATGTTCATGTAATGATCATAAATTTCCGTTATTCATATAAAATTATATTATCTATCACTACTAGCTCAGCTACTACTCAGAGTGATTGAGTATTTAGTCAGATTATGTAACCAATTTGACTAAGTAACTTTTTAATTGATCTATTATTTAATAAGTTAGTTATAGAAATATATTATATAATCAAATATGTTAGGATTGAAGAAGTAACGGCTTTTTTTTTATCAATTAGAGTTGTCAATCTGTTGGAAGTACATACAATCTGATCTATAACAATTTGAAGTCATTTCACTGTAGTCGGAAGCATAAAAGAATATAAGAATACAAAATGTTAGGCGTCCAATGCATCTCAACTCATAATTATTTACTAGTTTTTCTTAAAAATGCATCGATTGACTTGAGATAGTTGGAGATCTCTATTTGCATAGTCTGAAATGCGATAATAACATACGTGAGTTAGAATTTTGTTAATAACCAGAAACTTGTAAACTACAAATCTCGAACTAACTTTTCCCCGTCACTTAGTTTTCATATAAAAATTCTTTTTAAATGTTTCTTGATTCTAGGACAACACTCTTTTAACAAGTTAAAAAATATGGCACATGTGAAGTTACCACGGTCTGATAGGTAAGTTGTGAATGTTTCTGATAAATTTTATTCTCTCTTATCACTTATATAGACTTTCTAAATGCCATCTTTTTGTACTGTTATTTTTGACGATCGCAGTTACAATTTGTATCTCACTAATTCCCGCATATTTATCATCACCATTTTTCATAGTTGGTAACAAAACGGCGGTCACTAGTTAGTATTCATTTGTTTTTTTTTATTATATACATACGTTGTTTTTACTAGAAAACTCACTTACTGCATTAACTGTTTCTTACCTGTTGCCATCTGGATTCGTAAAAAAACGCGCTACACAGTCCGTGACCAATCGTATAACAACCGCTTCTTGCGTAATTTTTGTCTTCTATGTTAATTGTTAATGTTTAAACTATTTTAGCTGCAACAAGCAATGGGTGCTCCCACAAGTTCCATCAATGTCATTGGCATTGGCAGTGCACAAGCAACCAGCACCAAAGGTCGACGTCGCCGTCGCGAGTAATTTTTATTTTAATTGATTTCTGCTAGTCATATCTACCTATAACTTTGTATATAGCATTCAATGCGATAAAACGGATCGTTCAGGTACTGCTATCGTCTTTGACGTTGCATTGGATTATCCAAAAAGTTTATCATGTCAGTCGATATCTTGTCAAATCAAGGCATTTACCAGTATCCATGAAAGCTTCAATGCTGTAACCAACATTAATCTTCCGGCGGATGATGGAAGCAATATACCTATTGAACTATGCCATGTTGAGTCTTATCCCAACGGCAATACTAATAATGACAATAATGCTAATGGTATTGTCATCGGTAAGCAGACTATTTATTTTATCACTTATGTAGGAAATCAAAATGAAAACTACCAATATCGAATTATGGCATCGTTTTATCTCTGTTTACCGAGAGGAATATCAGACTCAAAGAAATCATCCGGATGAATTTTCCAAAACTGAATCGTTTAAAATGTTCCTCAACGGTGAACTTGTTCTGTCCAAGTTATTTGTTATATTTAGAGATTATGGAACCGAGAAGAATTATTCTAATGTATGTTTATTTATTTTTTTAGAGCCGTGTACGGCCGTTTGTCAAAATGGTGGTCAATGCACAGGTTCTAATACTTGCACATGTGCTACAGGATGGAGTGGTGACACGTGTACACTTGGTAACGTAAATTCAAAGTTTAGTTGATTTTAATAATTTCTATTGTTTCTTTCAGCTATATGCACAAGTGATTGTCAGAATGGTGGTACATGTACAGCTCCTGATACATGTACATGTACTAATAAATGGAGTGGTGACACGTGTACCACTGGTTAGTAAAATTTAAATTTGAGATGTTTTCTATGATTACTATTCTTGAAAATAAGGACGAGAAAATGTAAATGAGAATGTGGAATAGTATTAGTTTGTACATAAGGTTGAAAGATGAACGTCAGCGTGAATCTTTCCGTAACACTGTTTTCTTAACCCTCGCGACATGTTATGTAAATTTTGATAAATGAGATGAATATTGTCTTAAAAGAAGAGGCTCATTTCCTTAGATATTTTATAGAGAATTATATATACGATGAAAATTTCTGAAAGAATCTATTTGTTATCCCATTAATTATAACAAATAATAGCTATTCCATAAGTTTTATTAGTTGTAAAAGCTATCATTTTCTCTAAAATTTTTATAGAATGATATCACTTGAGTCAATTTATTAGATTTAAAAAGATGTCATGCTGTGCCAACTAATTTGTTTCAGTTGCTGCAATAGGCACATAATTATTAATATACTATAAAAAAAAGAAGTAAAAAAATCTATACGAATATATTCAGAGTTAGATATATTGTTAATCGATAGAGAACTGATAAATTAAGAAGAAAATATCATTCGGTCTTCCCGTTTCATATAGAACTCACAACGTCATCAACAACAACAACGACGACGACAACCACAAAAACAACAACGAGAACAACCACGGGAACGACCACGAGGACAACCACAAAAACAACTACTAAAACAACAACAACTACAACAACAAATAAATCAGCGACCACAACAACTACAACAACAAATAAATCAACGACGACAACAACTACAACAACTACGACGACAACAACTACAACAACTACGACAACAACAACAACAACAACGACAACTACAACTACAACTACAACTACAACTACAACTACAACTACAACAACTACAACGACGACAACCACAACAACAGTAAATCCATGTAAGTAAAGAGATGTTCTAGTCAGCTATAATATAGTACTCACGAAATATTCATTTCTTAAAAATTGTACGAAAATAACGGAAATTCTAATATATTGCAAACGCTTTTAGGAATATCTTTATATTTGTTTTATATTCATTTTATATCATATCGATTTTGAAAGAATAAATCTCGAGAAGCTCCTGTATTAAATAAACACATATTTAGTTATATGAAATATTAGTTTAATTGAGTTTAAAATATAATTATAATGACAACGTGGTAGTCATTTAGTTTGTTTCTTTATGTAGCTGAAATAATATCTTATTCCATGCCATAACTAATATTTTTTCATTTACTGTTGAATATATCAATATTGATACAATGATACTAGAATTATAATAAAAAATATTGAATAATTAATCATTATTTTCATTTCTATCTATCATTAGGTATATCTGGCAGTTCACGTTGGAATATATCTGGTACAACTGTAATTAGTGGAGCACCAACATATATAGCAGCATCTGGTGTATTTGTTGACTCACATGATAATTTATATGCTGTGGATGAGAACCGTAATTATGTTATATGGCAACTATTGAAAAATGCTATAAATGCAACAGTTATAGCTGGAACTTATCAATCATCAGGATCGAGTAGTTCTCAATTAAGTAATCCTAATGATGTTTATGTTGATAAATCTGGAAATATATATGTGGTTGATACTAACAATCATCGAATACAAAAATTTAGTAGTGGAACAAACATTGCTGTAACCATAGCCGGTATAAGCGGATCAGCTGGATCTGCATTAAATCAATTCAATCAACCACGATATTTTACTTTCGATTCAACAGAGACATATTTGTATGTCTGTGATTATAATAATCAACGAATTTTACGTTTTTCAACAAATTCAACTTCAGGTACTAATGGAACTCTTGTTGCTGGTGGGACTGGACTTCACGATGTAACTACATCATTGGACTATCCATGGGGTATTCATTATCTACCATCGATAAGTAGTGATCTGTTTATAGCAAATAACGGTGGACAATCAGTTATGCGTTGGACTCCTGGTGCTACAGCTGGCATTTTCTCCATTGGTACACCAGGGGTATCAGGTTCTACTTCAACTCTTTTAAATAGTCCTGCGGGAATTAGAATTGATACCTATATGAATGTTTATATCGCTGATGGTGGTAACAATAGAATTCAATTGTTTTGTGCCAATAGTAATGTTGGTGTTACAATTGCTGGCAATGGTACTTCGGGTAATGGTGCAACACAATTAAATGGTCCACGAGGTATTGCATTTGATTCAGCAATGAATCTATATGTGGGTGATACAGGAAATGGCCGCGTGCAAAAATTTACGAAACTCTAAAATACTACAGACAAACTTCTTATTCATCAGACCTTCTTTTCAAAACATTAATTATGATATTTTATCTACATACCATTTTATCGATTTATTCTTCTTTATATTTATTTTGCTTATTTTAATAGTTTTCTTTTTTGTTTATTCAATAAAGGATATTTTCATCATCACCTTTAGAGTGTGAGTGAATGTGGATGACTACATCTAAAACCTACATGTGCCGAGGAAAATATATATCTATATCTTGTCAGTTTAGGCTAATGCTATTCATTTCGATATAAACAAGAAGAAAAGAAAAAAAAGCAATGTGATTCAACAATATATTTCGTTTATTCACAAAACCAATGACAGGTAATACATCTAATTTTGATCGTGTTTTATTATCCAATGTAAAATCTTTAGTTATAGTGTAAATTTGGTATTCTATTAGAAAATATTTTGCAATACAATCTCAATTTTTCTAACGATGGTTTTGTAAAAGATCAAATTGTTGCTAATTATGTTAGTTTTCTTGTTGAAAAACGTTATAAATTAAATTATGAACATTTAAATAAATACTCAGATCGATGCGTCCTGAAGCAGTATTTCATGTATCTCGGGCGAAAACACTCAGAAAACTGATCGTTTTCGGCAGGAACCGTGCCGGAAAATACCAGGAATCCGATGGAGAAGTGAGGTAACCGTATCCGGCTGCCGGTTATGACATGTTCCTGTCGGTTCCGACCGTTTGCGTGCTGGATTATTCGACCTGGATATATATTGTAATATAGTGTTACCACAATGAATTGCTCATTCTTTTAGTACGTGAACGTATTAAAGACAAATACAATAATTCGAATGAAATATCGATTTATGAAAGATATGGTTCATTATCTCAAGAGAATTAATGAAAAGCAATGTTGGCTTAATTTCTGCTACAACAGTTAATCAGCCACAAGTATTAGCTACAGACGAAGATAGTGATGAGGTAGTGATTGTTCATTTTATTTCAAAAGTTTTCCCTTTTCTGATAACATTACACATCGTACAGTTATTATTGAATTAATTCTTGATTCAATAAAAAATGGTAATACTAATGTGAGTGAAGCTATTGATACATGTTTTCAAAGGTAACATAAATATTTATTCTAGGTCAAAAGCAACGGCAACGTCAACGATGTAAAAATGGTCTAAAATGACAAAGGTCGGTGTTTTCTCGTCGCCGTTTCCGATGGTCGGAATGATCGTCCTGGGATTGAAATAAAAAACATTTACGTTTTAAGTTTATAAAATGATGATATGTATTTTCAAAATTTTTTAAATAAAGCGGAATCATTACGATCACTTGTACACAATTGTGGACCAAAAAGAAATGCTTTTAGGCTAGGATGGTAGAATCTACTGAAGAAGATCATGCCTCACGTAAGACAATGTGTCTCTCTGATTAAATCCATTTCTATATGCTTCATTTAATAAATTTTCGTTTTTTTTAATTTTTCCTAAAATGAAAATTTATTTTTATGTAATTATAATTGAATTAACTGAAAATTATTCAGTTATAAATAAAATATGTACACTAAAGTTCATTTGCACTAAACGATGTTTATCTTATAATTATGTCATATACAAAATGAATATATTCTTAATTATAATCTAAAAATTACATAATCATTTAATAGTATTTACAATGAGATCTTCGAGTATTGAAATATGTTAATCGAAATAATATACTATAATAAAATTCTGATTTACTTATTTAACAAAAGCGTTGTTTTTAAAATCTGAGAAAAAATTTAGAAATAAAAGTAACTTTAATGATATAAGTATAGCTAATTATTGTTTTTTTTCTATGATTAGATTCTTCCATATTACTTATCAGAGATATATACTTTATGTTTAACATACAATGAATTCGAATGATTATTAAATCTCTGCGATATCTTGAAATCTTTTGCCATTAATGAAACTATTCAACTAAAAATATATTCAATAAATTTAAAAATGAAATACTTGAAATAAACTATATATGAATTTATTTATTTAATATTTTACATGTTGACAAATAAATCTAAAAACTGTTTTAGAATATTCAACAGAATCTTGACAATTTTAAAGTTTTTTAACAAAATATTTTGCATCATCTGCAATATTCACTCATTGTTTTTTTCCTTCAGCATAAAGTAAATTACTTGAATGAACCACATGAAATGATTATTTATGGTAAAGGAAATTCATTTTCAATGGAATAAATAAAAACAGTCTAGTATCAGTGCTTGTCTTTTCTCATAATTTTATCATTTATTCTATCAATCAATTATAAAAGAAAACGAAAAATTTTATTTTATTTTCTTATTTAATTATGCGCAAAAAATGAGATGTTTCAAAACATGAAAAGTCTAAGAACTTACAATTTGAGAACATAATTTTCATTTTAATCTTTTCTTTATTGTGTTTATCAATAGTTTCACAAATGAGTTGTTTTAATACAATCTCAGTTATAGTACTAAATAAATACTATTATAACATTAAAAAGTCCATTTTGCTAGTATATTTAAATCTAAGGAGTTCTTTGTTTTCGTCATTCATTCTTTACGAAAAATTTTGATAATTAGGAAGAATTTAAAAAATTGATGCATTAACTACTGAGAGAATAAAAACATGTCAAAAAATGATGATTTTCGTACGAAAAACATGAAAAAAAAATCCCATTTCTTGTTATGAAATGGATATTATTTTTTATGTATACCATTTTTACTAATTAAAATACAAATATCCATTAAAATCACCGAATAAGTTTAATGCAAATTTTTCTTTTAATTAATATAAAGAAAATACAAAAAATAATGTCCGTTTCACCATTTTTTTTTTAATTCTCTGGGTATTAGCAATCGATGCGTGTTAAATAGTCGTCAACGAAATACAATGAAAGAATTCCTTGATTGTTTTCAACACCAAATATGTAATACATGTGTATTATCATATTGGTTCTATTTGAATATATATAATAGATAGATCAAGATCAAATCAAAGATTGGCTCGATTACATTGTAAATTTGATTTTAAAATAAAATTATAAACAAAGATAAAACATTTCGTTTATATTAATAAAGAAATATATAGAAGATAATAATATGACTTTATATTAACTAACAAGGTGGTTATACATACATGTATGCAGGGATGGCGCGAGTTAGCCAACATTGGGGGGTGTAACGAAAATTTTTTGAATTTTTGGGGGGTGTAGCGAAATTTTTTTGATTTTTTAGGGGGTGTAGCATGATCTTTGTTCAAAAAAATTAAGAAAATTTGCCGATTTTGTTGAGCAAAAAATAGAAATTTTCAAAGATTGGGGGGGTGTTACACCCCCGACACCCCCCCGGTCGCGCCACCCCTGCATGTATGTATATAACCGTTTACCTATGTACACATATGTTTACATATTGACAGTCAAGTATAGACACACGTGTGCACACAGACACTTCCTTTTTTTAAATTACTAAATAATTAATAGAAATAATATTGATTTATGTAGTGAAGTAAATCATCAATATAGAGTTTAAGGTTTTAAGTCAAATTGCATTGGACATTTGTCCATCGATCTGTCATTTATTGAAAACATTGTCTACACTATTTTTTAAAAGTGCCGGATCCATTTGTTGCATTACTTCGTCATAAGTAGGTGGAGAAAAGCTGTTTACGTATATTTGTTCTTCTTCTAACCCTATCATTGCTGGATATCTTGTACTTGAACCAGGAATAGTAGAATGGAAAAGATCCTGCCCTGATAATGATGATACTATTGCCATGTCATTAACGTTCACAGGAATATTTCCGTTATTTTGTTGATCGGTTTTTCTGTTATATAGTACCCGAAAATATAATTGTAAACAACATATGATAATACTCAATAAGAAACATATTATAAAACCACAAAGAATGCCAATAGCTGTTGGTTTTGATGGTTGATTAAACTGAACCTCACCTGGATTCCAATGAGAAGGTTCATAGTAACACGCATAAATTCGATTAGGCTAAAAATAAATAGATCTTATAGTCAATCTAGGGATGTTCAATAGAACTGTTTTATTCTCTATTGCGATAACTTACTTGATACTTCTGAGATGGATTATTCACGATAAGTGCTGCATTATCAGTTACTGGTAACCATATTGCTGTTGTTATATTTATTCCATCATTTTTATAAAGTATTACATTATATACTGCTCGATAGTATCTACTATCATCAGATCCAGAAATTGAACTGATCGTTATGGATGTCACGTAACATTGTGCTGTAGTATAGTTATTTTCTTCACTAAGTTCAATTGCATACAATATCGCCAAGACAATACTACTAATAAAGAATAATAATGCTAGACAACCTGTAATTGAAGTCTTTCTTCTTTTAATACTAGAAATGATTGCCAACGCGTTATTATCAGACGACTGAACCATGTTGTCGTTCTTAGTGGGAATGAAAATTGATTGTACAATGATGAAAGAAACTACTGCTTATTAGATGTAATGTTTTTGCATATTTATTTAAAAAAAATAAATACTGTGCACATGTAACGATACACATCAATGATTACAATATTACTTGATCAATTTATGAGTCATACAAAAACAAAAAGTAAAAAAAAAAGATTTATTATTACAAACACTATCGAATAGCATCAAAAAATTACATCAGAATAGAATAACAGTCATTAGAATCTATCAAACCTTTTTACATATGATAAAAGTGAGAGTAGATGTGCATAAAACAATTGTCCACGAATCAAACGTTCTTGCTTGTTAACAAAAAAAAACATATATTAGAATTATTAAAAGAGATAAATTTCTCAATAGAAAGATCAGTAGTGTATCAAAGATGGAAGCTTATAAACAGTTTTTCTTCTTCTTCTCCTTTTATATAGTAAAATAAAAATAACATCAAATAAAATGGCTGCCTCTAGCTTTCTTATAGTGTCCCTAAGATATATCTTTTTTTTTCTTTTCTTCTTCTCTTCCTCTCTTTCTCTTTCATTTCTCGTATTTATGACATATATATAGGATTTTATCTGAATTTGTCAGTATATATGTTGGAGCGTTTTGAAAAATAAGGTAGACGTTTTAGTTTCGATCAGTTAGATCGATTGTCCCGCTAATAACGATCTATTTATGTGTTTCAGTTGATGGTAATCATTTTGAACATTTGTTGTAAATAAACTAAATTATTTACAACAAAACTTTAAAGAACATATTAACATATTATTAAAAAATTCAACTAAATTGATTGAGTTGTATAAGATATATTTAAAATAACTTTTCTAGGGGACTTTTGAGTCACTCTGTATATATAATTTATTTATATAATAAAATCAGAACAAAATGATATATATTTACACATGCTACAATATGTCACGGTCTAAATATTCATTTAGGATTGATCGTAGCAATGCGTTGCGATCGTCGAAATAAAAGTAGACCTTTCCATCGTAGTTTTTTGCGCATTTCAGAAAGAGTACTAAGACAGACAAATGGAAATAAAAGAGTAACGAAATAACATAGATAATTAGCGTAAACTTGTACATCTGCACCAAAGTGATAGGGTAGACCGCAAATATGACTAAAAATAACAAGATTGAGTGGAACATTCGCCGCTAAATATAAAATACAAATAGAAAATAATTGAATTGTCATTTTACGTTGTCTACGCCATTGATTAGCTTGATTAAGACGTCGTTTTTGAATATAAACACGAACTAATACAATTATACTAAAAATACTAATTATTGCAGTTGGTATAATACTATTTATAACTGTATCCCATATACCAAGTAAAGGTATATCTAAATAACATGGAAACTCACCACAAACAGGTAAGGTATAATCATACGTATTTGAACATGGTGGAAATATTATCACAACTATATAAAATATAAAGATATATAGAATCAATATGAAAAGAGGTATCGTGTGCAAAAGAAAACGCTTTTTTGGAATCAAAAATAATCGGTCGTGAAAAATTAATAAATAACGATGAATAGAACCCCATGCCATAATTATGACGCATCCATTATATATTCCTGTATCTACAAACCACCAGACAGTACATAAAGTAGGTGTAGATGGCAAAACACTATCTAGTTGTAAGAAACTAAGATGAAAAGATATATCGATTAATTCTATAATTAATCCAAAGATGAGTAGACAGATAATAATATGATTACTCAATTGAGATCGTAATTTTTTATTGACGAAAATTTGAAAAAGTAAAACGCATGAACAATAAATCGATGGAATAACTAATATGAGAAACAACCAAAAACGAACTTGACGAGGTAAAGAAATTTCTTCTTTTGAAAATAAGCCAGTAAGACTACCGTTGGTGATCATTTTCTACAATAAATCATACATAATCATCGTAGTTGTTATTAAAATGAAATAAATTTTTATAATAAAAAGTATAAAAGAAAGGAATAATGCATTCTAAAATAATATCCTATTAAACTTCAAATATTGATTACATTTGTCAGTTAATATAACGGAAATGTATTGAAACAATTAAAATGTCTAACGAGAAAAAATTATAATGCACAAGAACACTATTTTTATTAAACATAAATCATGACACTTGATAATATTCTGCCTTCACTGCGTCATAGAAATATTAAATCTCATCATTGTATATTATGTGTTCAGATACTATTACGCACTAAAAAAATGTATATAAGACAGATATTGCTTCAACAAAAGATATCATTAATGACAGTAAACATCAACATAATGAAACTTTTTTTCAGCTAAAGAAAAATTACCAAAAATTGGTAAATAATTTCTTGAAATTACTTTTTCTTCTTTCGCTACTTGATTTTAACTGTTTTTATGTTCCTATTTTTATATTCATGACATTAGAAAAGTGTAAAATGAGAACAATAAAGAACAGCTGATTCATGTTAATATTTCGACGCTTCTTTTTCTTTTGAATCAAAATTAAGCAAAGAGTATTATAATACTTTTCTATTTATTCTTCTGATTAAATAGATTGTCACTTTAAAAATGTAATTTCTTAGTATATTCTAAAGAATCAAAGCAATAAGAAATTATACAGCAGAGATAATATCAATCATTTTCTGTTTGTAACATACGTTAAGATAAATAGAATTTTTCGTTCTTAAAAATTACTGACAAATAACACTCGAACAATACATTGAACTCGTGCTAGCATAGTTATGATTTTTATAAATTTTAACTATATATATATACTTGAAAAATAAATTACCTATTTCTTTTCAGCACTGTCTGAAGTAATCAGTGATATATGTCCTTATAATATTTGGCGACCTACCTGGAAAAAATAAAATTTTAGATTCTTAAGAAAAAAAAAAATCTTTATTCTTTATTTATAAAGTAAAGAGAAAGTAACATCCTTAATCATTAGTTGAATAGTCTGTGTTAACAAATAAAGATCCAAAATAAATTTACTAGAATAATTCACAAATACGATAATAAATAAAACCCTAGACATTCTTTTCTACTAGATGTTTGAAAAAACCTTACGAAATACTCTTTGACCAGAAGGAATATAAATTTTTTTGTAAAAAAGAAATGTTTTGAAATGATGAGAATGCTATTGATTCGGTATTTCATCCAATATGATCGCCTATCGTTATGAAATTTATATTTTATATTTCCCATATATTTTTCTTTAAAGTACAGAAATAAATAATATATTTTATTTATTTAATATCAACTCAAGATAATATTCAGTTACAACATAAAACAGATAGGCATAAAAAATAAATAAAGTATTATCGATAAAATTATCTTTTATGTGCCATGAATTAGTCTAATTTGTAAAGATTTATATATTTGATTTTAATACGTTAAGAGATAATATATAATTTAAGTTTAATATTACGAGGGTGTGGGTGTGGATGTCGGTGTGGATGTATATTATATATCCATCATACATTCACATCCACACTCACACCCTCAGAAGCACTGTTAGTTTACACTTCGTTAATAATTGAAAGAAACTAAATTTATACTCTTATTATTGGTATTCATCATCAAAGATCGAGGCTTCACAAACAAACATGAAATAAACTGCTTTAATTTCTTTTGAATTTAATATAATTCAACAAACATTCTCAAGAAAAAAGGATACAATGATCTGATATTAAATTTTAATATTAATAAATACAATGATCATTTTACAATTACAACACAAAAACAATATTTAAAAAATTTTTTTTAATGAATAGAAATAGGTATCTAATACTATTTAAATTTCTGGCATGACTTGATTGATTGCCATTGTTTTTTGTCGCCATCGATTGAGATATATCTCAAATGGTACATATATGAATTGTTGACGAAATCGATTAGATACACATACATATATGTAAAATGAACTCTAAAAATAGAAGCAGAATACTTCTCATTTTGTATTTTTGATTTAAACATACTCACTGCAAAATACATATAAACAAGATATGCGGTCACAAGATTGGCAAACTGTAATTGTGCTGATATGACAGGATCTTGAGTGAGTTCTGGCATTGCTGTCAGAATGAGTACAATAGTATATGGTATATTAGCAAAGAAAGCAAAAACAATGAGGACTAGTATTATTACTGTCCGTTGTTTATCTAATTCACGACGAACGAGAGGTAACGTCCGCTAAGCTAAAAGTCCAAAAACAAATGTAATACTGATAGGAATAACTTTTCCAATAGTTAGATTAGTACCATAGATATTAGAGTGTGGGTGTGAGTGTGATTATTCTTTTATTACACCCACACCCACACCCTCAAGATTTCCCTATAATTTCCATATGCACTTTTTGCAGTACACATAACTTTCGGATAAAATTCGAAGTTTCCATATTTATTTTATAATCATATTTCGATTACCTTTTTCTTCCTAGAAATAAAATATTCTACTATAATCTCTAGATCTTTTATTGCATTTAAGATAAATATTTCGATATATATTGATTAAATGAAAAATAGAGAATAAAATCAATATGAATATTATAATTGATTAGATTTGAGTTCGATCCCAGTATATATCATCATTTCTATGTGGAAGATCAGATGATATATAAGGAATTGAATAGACAATATCTTTCTCTTGTTTTTGTTTTTGTTGACGTCGTTGTTTCTTTTGATTATGATGACGAGATAATGAGAATGATGATTGACGTTTCTTTATGTCATGTATGTTTTTTTGTTTATGTTTATCTTTTGTTTTTTTGTTTCGACAACGAAGAAATAAATGAATGAGTGGTTTAACAATAAGTTTAAATAATAGAAATGCCATAGCAAATAATTCAATAATAAGTGTACAAAATAAAAGAGTATGAAAAGCAAGTTCAGATATTCGAACAATAGGTTGTTGATTATTTTGAAGAAAAAATGGTTGTTCACTTATGGTTATTATGAATGTTGTACGTTCATTAACATATCGAAGATATTCACCATCTTGTTCATAAACTAATTTATCTGAAATTGAAATATCATTAATTGTTGGTGACCAACGACCACTGTATATAGTTGAATCACCTATTTCAAGAGGTTTTGTTTGATTAATTACTTTTATAAGTGAAACGGATACAGTAGATGTACGAGCTAATGTTTCATTTATGGTAAATAATAATGCACACGTATCAAGTGCTTGAAGTGTATTGACACCATTGATAATACCAGGACCACGGACACATAAACGAATTCCACCAATAGAATAAACTCCTGATATATTTAATTGTACTTCTAATTGATGTTGTGGTAGAGGAAATGTAGCAGTAAGTGTTACATTATCTGGTTGAATGAGACATGATAAATTTGATAGTTTTAAATACTTTACACCAGGTCTATTCTGTTGAATAGTAATATTTTGACAATTTGCAGCTGTATTTATTAAATCTACGCTCATTGTAAATGGTTGTGCATTAAGCATATCAAAAATAGGCCATTGACTTCCATCAGTATTCGATAAAGGTAATTGAAGAGCATTATCAAAAATAGCATTACGCATAGTAGTATCACATGAAGCATGCATTGGACCTGATGTTTCAATTGGATAAAGTTGATGATAATCAGCAGCAAACCAAAATGTAAAACCAAAAAGTACAACAATAGCAAATGAAGATAATCCGCCAATCCATCGTTCACCATCTCCTACAATATCAGTATTTTTCAAGAATTTTTTTGCATTGTCTCGATGACGAACTATTATTTGACAATTAAATATTTTTCCCATAGTCATAATAAACCAAATAATAAAACATAATGCTATGGCAAGTGATGTCCAAAATAAAGGTGCAATTATAAGACATCGAACTGAGTGACCAATAGAGAAAATATTTTGCACAATAATATCATCATAATTATTCATATCGGGTGAGTCTGGATAAGTATATGTTTGTCTATATGATGTATAATTAATAAGCGAAACATCATTAATAGAACCAAGTGGACAAAATGAATTGGATAAACATGAACTACATTCTATGGCTGGTTCATTACCTGGATTTTTCGTTTGAGGTGAACATATTGTACAAATTCCATATCCAACTTCATTTTTATATGTACCAGATTGACATGGTGCTGATTGATAAATAAAAGTATAAGTATTGATAGAATCGTAGAATATAGATTGATAACCAGGTGCTTGCGATGGTACTAGTATAACTAAACCATTATCAGTTAGTATATATAAATTACTAGACCATAAAACCATTTGTAAAAATTTAGGTGAAACAAATAAATTTAGAGTTTGTTGATTATTAGGAAAAGCAGAGAGAGGATTTTCTAGTGGTCTATCAACAGCAAATGTCCATACTTCTGATTGAGACCAAGAATGAGCATTGATTGAATAAAGAAGTATTGCAACTGTATTATCATCAAGCCAAGCAACTGATTGACCAAAGCCACTGTTTGGAGGTCCGAAATCACGACGCATTATATTCATATTCCATTGAGATGCGTCTGTACTAGTCGTATTAATATTGAACAATAAGACTACACTGCTAAATGGAAAGCCAACTACGGCCATTTGTCGTTTATTATTTACAGCTATTGACATTTGATTGGCAATATTATAGGTTTTAGCTAAGTCAGCAGTCTGGTAGAATACGTCGCTGTAAATAGTGGTATAATTAATAGATTTAAATGGTTGAAGTTCACAAAGAAATGCAATAACTATAGCGGTATTTGGATTAATATATGAGATTGCATACGCAAGTCCAATAACAAATGTATCTGTAACATCAATTGTATGTGGTATGATTATTGGATAAGGATATGAATAAAATGTATATGAATCTTTTAATTCAATAATTTCATTATTAACAATATCGAACATGAGAACAAATGAATCAGCAAATACGCAAGCATATTTTTGAGAAGGAATAACTTTGAGTAACATATATTGTTGATGTGTACCATTCCAAATGAGTGTATCATGAATAATTGCAGTACTCATATTGCCATTTACTAAAAATTTAAAAAATATTTTATATAATATTATTCTCTTACGACAATCACAAAACAAAAATATATTAATCTTTCTCTAATAACTAAAAATTGACTAAAGAATATTATGATAATAGATATGGTTAAATAGGACATACTGCAAAGTGATTTATTGACAGTAATAATACTAAAATAAACGTTTTGTGTTGACATTTGTTCAGATATTTGTACGAATGTAAATAATTGATCAGATGTATTATTATCATTATTGAATACAACATCTAAACTGTATACATAAAAATCACGACTTGTATTCACATAAACACAATCTATCAAAGGTACAAATGGTGCAAAATTTATGTCAAAACCCATAGCAAGATTAATTCCATAAACAATGAACTGATCATTCCCAGCAATACGTACACCATGTGCATTATCATCAGTAGTATCGTATATAATAACACATGCAATTGGCTTCAATATTAATAATAAAATAAATATACTAATAAACATTTAATATTTTATTCTCAATCAATCTAAACATATAATAAGAGATTATAAAATACCGTTTATTCATTATATACGTTAAGAAAAGTAGCTGAATTTGAAAATACAAAAATTATTTTTCATTGCATTGATCGATATTTGCTTCACTTGTTAATGATATCCATAGAATATTGTGATATTGCGCATATACTTCTAATCGATTAACTTTTTTTTTATTTCTATTTATTTGATTTAGTTATTCATATATTTACTTGAATAAGTATTTAATAGAAAATTTATGCAAAAATCAAATCAAATAGAATGAATAAGAATATCTATGGCTTCAAAGTACTTTAGTACTCAACAGAATAAATAAATAATATATTTTATTATTCTTTTATCTGTATAAAAATCAATTACTGTCCAATAAAAACTATTTTCTGAAAGAAAGGGTTATAGGCTCGTTAAACAAGGTCGTTAAAATGCTTAAAATTTGTTTGTCTAACAAGCCAATCAGATTGCAGCATTTTATAAGTCAATGAAAACTTACGGGTAGTCATCAGATAATGATTGACCAGAGGTAATCGGGGTCGAGGAATCCGAATCTGATGTTAGTTTTTGCAAACTGTACAAGTAAAAAGTTCAATAGTATTGCACAATACGTTCTCTACAAGAAAGAGCTGAGCGAGTCTCTAGACGAGCATTACTTGTTAATAATAAATTATGTATTTATTTGAAAAAGTAAATAAATGTGGAAACTTTGAATTTTATCCGAGAGTTATGTGCACTGTAAAAAGTGCATATGGAAATCATAGGGAAATATCAGTATTTTTGCAATAACTTGGGAATGGCTCGCCCAATTAGGCTCAACTTTGAACTCAATCGGGATGTGTATGAGACTGAATTGCGCAGAAAATCTCATCAAAATCTACCTCTCCTTTTGCAAGTTATCGTGTATGCGGACAGTCGAACATACTGACCGATTCTAGTAGTGTACTCACTTTTTGAATACACAAAAATGACAAGAATTCATTCTTTATACATCAAGTAAGTTATCGATATCGATGTTATATTTTGGTTCATAATCCTGATATTTTATATTTTCTTCTTCTTTTAAATCGAAAGTTTCAATTTCTTTATTTTTCTATTGTTTCTTTCAACGAATTATAAACTCATTAAATGGGTCTTTCATGAATGATGACCAGACATGATAAAAGATTTTATTTCCTTCGTTTTCTTGAATTGTAATTGTCAGTTAAGTATCATTTGTTTGAAACGAGATTGAGTAGATAATGTACATCGGTATTTTATTAAATATGAACATATATAATCAGTTGAAAGATAATCTTATTCACATTAATGGCAACAAATAATGCACTTTTCATGATTTCCAATAAATCTTTGTTCGGGAAATTTCATCATTGGAATTATTATTTGTGTTGAAATATTCCGACTCATTGTATTTTGAACATGTTAGAATACGTAAAGAAGTAACAAATCGTTTTATTTCAATAGTACGACGATTAATTATGATTTTATTATCATTGATTAATTCATTGTATTCGATTTTAGACTCAATTTTAACTCGTAAATGTCGAGATGTATCTGTTCTAGGGTAGGACAGTTCCATATTAGTTCCGTTCTTAGGAACTGTATTAACAGTTCTTTGAATAGAACTGAATTGTACCGACAAGTTCAGTTCCATTCAAAGAACTGTTATTTCAGTTCAGTTCTTTTTAGAGAACTGTTGTGAAAACTATTTTTTTGGAAATAAAAACAAATTTGAAACAAAACAGTTCTTTTAAAAGAACTGTTGAAACCGACCAGTTCCTCTGAAAGAACTGTTGATACAGTTCAGTTCCTTTCAAAGAACTGTTAGGTAAAGTTTAGTTCTATTCAAAGAACTGTTGATTCAGTTCAGTTCTATTCAAAGAACTGTTGGTTCAGTTCAGTTCCTTTCAGAAGAACTGAACTGGTAGTTCTTTTGACCAGTTCATCCGAACTTGGAACTATGAACTGTCCTACCCCTAATCTGTTCGTGTTCTATAAATTAAATACAGAATTGAAATAGAATGAAAATTTATCTCGAACTTCATCTGATATAGTATAAATGTGAAATCATGTTGTATTTAAATTTAAAATATTTCGATACATAAGCTTATATATTTAAAATCTCTTAACAAAAACTAATCTTTATGTTCATGTTGGCCTCATATTAAATCTATTCGTGGAATATTTTTTAATAATTGTACATCTAAATGTATTAATTATGATTGAAACATTATATTTTATATTAAATATTGAATAGATGACATTAATAATGTTTGATTAATTATTTTCTTAATATCATTTGTGAATCTTTTGAGTTTTGACGAGGTATAAATATGCCGGAGTGTAGTTATTAAACAGAAATGCTTCTAGAATATTTTTTAATTATTTGAAAAATCTTTTCATTGCATTAAATCCTATAAGAAGCTTTCCTTTCACTTTTTGACAACAGAAGCTCATAATTGATTGGTAATTAACAAAATGTAAAATAATATTTTGTTCCATCCACCTCAGTTTCATCTTAAAAAAATCAGAATTGTTTTGATAAATATATATGATATGTATCACGACTGCAATCTATCTTTATGTATTACTGAGTATTTTAAACATTATTATATGAAGATAAATTACTAATGCTTTTTTTCATACTGAAATGTTATTTTTTTATAAGAATAATTAATCAGTTCTCCTGAAAATATTGGTTCTTGTGCTGAAAAAGAAATAGGTGTAACTCAAAGGTTTAAAAGTTATATATTTTGACCATCACTTAGTACTTTTTTATGATTTATATGACATGTTTTTAATTTGATGAACAATACATGAATTATTTGTCATCACCAAATTTTTATTTTTTAAATACACTTAAATTTATTGTTTTTTTGAAATATTTACACATAATATAAAATTTTTCATTCGTATGTCCCAGAAAGAATCCTAATATTCCAGGCATATTCTAGTATGGGTACATTTTAGATAATCGCTTGAAGAATACTTTCAAAATGATGCGCTTAAAATGCTCATTCTATTTTTATCTGTGTCATGCAACTTTTATTGCTGAAAGTTAATCCATTCTGTAGAGTTTTTTTAATCAAAGAAAAACATTAATGTTGTTATCATCTGCTTACATATTTTCTTATATTAAATAAAAATTAATTATCTTATTTAAGCAAAATCTGTCACGGTCACTCTTTGACATTAAAGACTTCCATCAATATACAATTAAAATAGATGTCATATTTCTTTGTGTCAAACATTTTTTAAAAGAAGATTATATTTTCCATTTTGATAATGCTAATGAAGAATTATTTCTAATGTAAAGATATTTATAAATTTCATTTGCTTCAACAATGAATAACGAGACGATTCTCACAACAGATTTTATATTACCTTTATTTACAGTCATTCATGGTTCAATAGCTAGTATAATGTCAGCTATTATCTTATTTATTATTATTTATCATCAACATAATAATCGAATAAAACAAGATGAAAGAATTACTTTGATCTTATGTGTTAATATTTATCTTTGTATTTTTCTTTGTTCAACTATGTTAATTCTACTAAATATTCAAACATTGTTAGGTGATCTTTATGATCTCAATTTTGATTCAACACAATGTATATTTTCTGGATATCTTAATCTTATTTTTATCTATACTTTATATTATGGATTTGTTACTCAAGTACGTATAAATAATATGTGAAGTTATCCTATAAATCCTAAAAAAACAGTTAATTATTACTATTGATTTGTAAACTTGACTGACATGTAATATCAAATTGAGATGGTGGTTTCTGAGGATCTTTGTATGAAATAGTTGTATGTAGAAAAGCTAAAATTACATTTAATTCTATACTAACTTTAGCAGATAATATATTTTGACTAATTTAGGCTTTATATCGACTTTGTCGTATTGTGTATTCAACATACAGATGGTTTCAAGTATATTGGATTTATATTATCGCAGTACCATTTCAATTTATTATCGCTTGTTTAATTATGTCTCCACTCATTATTCGTCATGATATCATTTATATACCTGATTTATATCAGTGTTTTATACCAACTCACAATATTCTCGGTACTGTTTGGATAATTGTTTTTATGTATGGATTGCCTATTTTTTGTTTATTAATTATTTATATTCATATAACGATACATATTCGTCAACAATCAACTAATCAGACATTAGCAGTCAAACGTCGACAAGCACGAGATTTTGTTGTTATTCGACGCATTATTATTTTTAATAGTATATTGTTTACTCTGGGAGTACCGGGCATGATTCTTTTGATCATAAATTATGTTACAGGAAATGAACTAACTCTAAATTATCGTATTACATGGTTTTCATTTGAAGTATCTATGATACTACTAAGTATATTAGTGATTGTTATGACACCTCAATTGAAAACTATTGTTATATCAAAATGGAAACGAAATAGAGTGATACCTTTAGCTGCTATTGCAGAGAATTCAGTTCAAATAAGAACAGCTGGTACTCTTCAATAACTTTAAGGACTTTTATAATGAACACATTCAAGTGTTTTTTTACTTATTTTTTTCTTGAAATAATAATGATTGTATTGAACAAGTAGTATTTATCTTTTCTATTACAGCTTTTCAAGTGATTTAATACAAAATAAAATAATTTCTAACTTTATTAATTAAACTGTTATGTTAGCATATGTATACCAATAACATCATTGAGTATGCTTCTTTTACAGATAAGTATTTATAGTGTGCTTAATTTACCAAGTGGTGTAACATATTTGTCAGCAATAATGCCAGTTCCCTATAAAACAACATCGCTCTTTTTCTTGATTAATAATATCATTCAAATAATAATATATAATTCCATCAGTTCAAGTTTTATTATATATATGATTGCTACTCGGTGTTTGTAGAGAAGAACTTATGATAATTCTACGCACACTCTTTCGTATGAAGCAACCTGTTAATAATCGTATTGGAACTCAATCAACAACAAATAGAGAAAATTTTCAAACATTTGCTATTATAGCATCTATTCGATTAAACAATACTATTCAACAAACATATATACAATAAATTTTTCAATATCAATAATTTAAAGATTGTTTTCTTCATATAAATAAAATCTATTCTAATAAACTATTTAACAATTTGAAATAAAAGGTTCTCTTAAGATTCGACTTCGTTAAATATAGCATAATCTACTTTAACCTTTGGTATATTCTATCAAGTGGATAGTCTTTTTTAGAGACTAGATATAATTTAGAAAAACATAAGTATGAGAGCTCGAAACATAATTAATAGAGCATATAAAAAATTGAATATCAAAAGAATAGAAAAAATTTAAAAGAGAAGAGTTAAAAATAAAGTTATGAATACATAAGTCATTCAGTCAACCATTATAATGATGATTAAAATGTATGTTAACATATTCCAAAAGCATATAATAAATGAAAGAAAAAATGTTTTTTTAACATTTTATTAGTGTTAAATACGAAGTGACATAGTTATTAATAATATATTCTCTTAAAGATGATACATGAAAATTATTTTTGATCCATATTAAAATGTTCTTGTAACAAAATTGGACTTAGTTTTCCATCAAAAAACCCTGCACACATCCATCACATTTTGTCAAATTATGTAGACTTGCAAATATTCTATAACATCATTATTCGCTTTTTTAAGTTGTGTTTATTTATAAAAGTTTTTAAATAAAAAGAATAACGAATCTACAATACAACGTATATATATGAATATTGAGAATATGAGTTGAATCAATAATAATATGTCAGAGTTATTAATTGAGCTCAAATGCTTGTGGAGAAATTCTGTTTATTATATGTTGAATTTTCACGATTTTTTTCATTTTTATCCAAATTTCTTTTGATGATCCAAGACATATGAATGGCATCAATACTGGAACAAAAAAACTAAAAAAATATATAAATATTTCAAATTCACCGGTTGAACCATACGGTAAACCAAATATCAGAGCGAGATTCATACTAATTGCAGGAAAATTAAATATAAGATATAATAGTGAACATGATAATACTTGTATAATCATTCTTCGATATTTATACCATTGTATTTGTGGACGAAGACGTTGTCTTTGTTTGATAAAACGAATAACTAATAAAATATTGACAATTACGATCAACATTAGTGGCAACATACTGTTTATTAAAGAATCAAATAGATTAAGATTAAATATTCCTAAGTAACATGGACGAAAACACCAAAGTTGTGTATAATCTGGTGTATTTTGACAAGATACAAAGAAAATACAGATAATATAAAAGATACAAGCATATAAAACAATGCTTATTAATGGAATATAATGAATAAAAATACGTTTTTTCTGAGTATTAAGCCGTCGATGATGAAATATAATAATATGTCTTTCAATTGAAGTCCATGCCATTAACATACCCAATAGATTATAAGAAGCTGCTCCGATAAACCACCAAACATAACAATTTATTGTTGTTTGTGGCCAGACATAGCCAAGATGAAGGTAGGTAAGATAATTGGAAGCATCTGCAGCTTGTGCGAAGAGTCCAACAATGAGAATAACAAAAATAACATGATTATTCAGTACTTGACGTAATATTCGATCGAAATAAAGATTATAGAGTAAAAAAATAGAACAAAAAATAGATGGAATCTCCAAAAAAAGAAGAATCCAAAAACGAACTGTTGCTGCTATGGATGGGTGTGAATTTGAATACAATGTTATGTAATTATCTTTAATATCATTAACTGAACTATCATTGTAAACAATATCAGCCATGAACACTGCAGAAGTATCGATGAATAGAATAAAAAATAAAGAATATTATGTCAATCGTGCTTTAATCCTCTCATAAGCTCTTATATTCTCAAATGTAGAATATACGACTAAATGTCAGTGTCAATTTATTGTATAAATGAAAAAACAAGAAACTATCATTAGTTGTCTGTAAAAGAGTAAAAACTTTCTTCTTCATTTCATTAACTAATCATAAGTTAAATAATTAAACTCGATTGCATTGCTTAAAAATATACAATAACGATAGATATTCTTTTGTATAACATGTCACTTATAAAAAATTTAAAAAAAGGAAAAGCTTGAAATCTATATATATATAAATGTGTACTCAGTGTGTTTTCTTGTTATGCGAGGTCAAAAAAATATCGAATATAATATAAGCTATCGGAATTTTCTACACGAAGAAGTCAGACATAATAAATCTGGATCATTAGTGTGTATAGCATGCTATCAGTATTAGACTTATACCTCATAATTTGTCGAATTGAATAGATATTGCTCCATCTTTAAATGAGAATGATATAGAATAAACATGCAAGTTTAGAATTTGTTTGGAGTAATAAAAGTCAATAATTATGATGAATGAAATTTTTATTGTATCCACACTCCTCAAGTTTAAAGGATAGAACTAATTTTATAATATTAAACATTGATAAATGAACGATTGATTATATATAATATTTGTGTACTTATTAAAATACAAATCTATATTGTAAATAAAGTTTTGTGAGTTATTTCAACAAACTAGACACTTCTAAAGATCGGATGATTAAAACAGCATGTACAAGTTCTTCTGTCAATCAATTAAACTTATTTTTGCGTGGGAAAAGAAAGTAGAATCAGCTATAGTTAATTACATATAATGCTTTGAGTTTATTTAATTTCGATACATAAAAATAAACTATGAACCTAGTTTAAGTAAATACTGGAAATGAGTAACACGAAATCGCCGATTGTATAATATTATTTCGTATAAATATGTTTTTGATAGACTGACGTATTTCAGACAATCCAATTAAACACATAAATGGACAAAAAAGATAGCTTATGTATTCGAAATAAATGGTGGGAGTAAGAGTTGATATTTTATTTCAAACAAGCCCATACACACCCACATCCTCAATTTTTTTGAATAATAATTCTGAAGTTTTATTCTTTAGCTAACAGAACACAGATTCAACAAATAATCGAATGAATGCATATTAGATTTTATCAGAACAAAAAGACTTTACTCATGAAATCTTTACTCAAATCATCATCATTATTACACAACACCTGATACACGTTGTTTTGACTTTATATGAAGAAAATTTTATTTGAGAGATAATTTTAAGATTTTCTGTATTTTTTTTGATTGGAGGCTAAAATACGCAGCAAATTTAGTTAATTATTCGAGAAGAAGCAAATATGTTAGTAGATAGTCATAAAGTTGTCATCGATATACGAATCTATATCACTGCCACTGTGTAGAATAAATCGCATTTGATATTGGATTGATCTTGTTCCAATCGGAATCAGGTATGAGTTTGAGTAAGAGGTCCAATTAGAGCCAGCTGTCTCCTCGGGAGAGGTGGTATTGCTCAAAGTACCATTGAAAGCATCGAGAAAGTATAAGACCACTGCGGTACCGTCGTTCATCGCTTGTGGAAGGCCACGGGACCAAAAGAACAAACCAACGGTAAGATTGCCTGCATCGATTTGCGATGTTGTGATCGATGGATTTGCACCTACGATGACAATGGTCTGCGTGAGCGTGCCGAGGGAACCAGTATATCCACTAAATTGATATAATCCAGTACGAGGATTCAAACCCGAATTAAACGTGCCCATATCTAGTCGTGGTCTCGAGTTGCCACCTACGATCCAAGGCGAGAGCACACCAGCTTCTCCACCAGGATTCATCAGCAAGTTATTACCTATAAAAGAAGACATATTCTCAACGTAGGTGTTATGGCACGTACTTACAACTTAACATAAGATAAATCATAGTATAAATATTATTCATATATTGTTCTCTTTATTTTCTTACATATATATGTTCGCTATAGCTATCATTTTCTTTCGCTCTTTTTCAGTATTTTCTAAAGTATTGTCTCTTGATTTTTTCCTATCTCATATGTCATGTGTTTTTCTGATAATATATAAGATCCTTTTGGTTTATTTCATTCAGTTCTCGGTTAATATGTTACATAAATAGGTACAATTTTTCTATATAAATAGGGTCCATTTCACATCTCAAATAAAACGTATATACGTCAACGTAAAACGAGCTAGGGTTGTGAGTGTGAGTGTGCCTGAGATAAGGAAGATGCAACCACGCCCACACCCACCCTCAAGAACAGTTTGCTGCTTTCATTCAATTATATCATCATAATACTAATATGTAAAAAGAGTACCCAGGCAGGTCCGACGAAAATGAAAGACAGGTGAAGCTATTTACAGCGTGTCATGGACAGGCTAGGCTTGTTTAGACATTTATTTCGTACGCTGATAGATGTTAATATAATCTCTATTCACTATTCAACGAATATCGGACGACTGACCTGGCATGACTGCTGTCGTGTTGCCAAAACTCGTTGTGATCGCTGTCGAGCTCCCGATTTTCGAGGTAGTCTTTGCAGCAGTCATTGTAGTAATCCTTGTAGTAGTTTTTGTAGTCGTCCTTGTATTAGGCATTGTAGCAGTATTTGCAGCTGTAAAGTCAGAAGCAAAATTGTTTATTAGTTTAATTACACTATCTTACTTGTAGCGATTAGTGTGTGACGCTTCCATCTAAAATTATAGATGATGCCAAATATACAGACGATGCTTACCATTACCGCAAGTGCAAACAAAACTTTCTTGTTCGAGAACAATCTGTTCCAGCAACTATTACAAACAACATAAGAGAATACGAAATATGAATTGGTGAAAAAGAATCCAGTCAACCTAGATTCGATCGCTTGTGGTGACTCAGTTATAGTATCAACATCGTGCTTCGTTATGTTTATACCTATCAAGCTTAGTAATTAAAAAGAAAAATACATTATAGGAAGGGTGATGTGAAGTATTTCATAAAATGAATTTTAGCATATTTGAGGGTGGAAAATTTTCAAAAGCAATTATTATCATGTTATGTGTAGGAGAAGCTGAAATTTTGTCAATCTGTTGTATATAACTGTTATTTTTTTTTACAATGAACTCACTGATGCATAAGATACACATAGTCACATCAGATATGGAAATAAACACGTACACGGTGCATTCTAAAAGTTACTTCGAAAAAAAGTATTTTTTGAATTACAATTTAAAGTTGTGATACACGTACATTATATTTTGAAGAATCCCAACAATATAGCATTTTCTCATAGAAACTAACCATAAAATCCTACTATAGTATTCGTCATCTGTCGCCCTCATCAATAAAACTGTTCCTGCCCATGTAAAACAAGTCATGAAAATCATGATTTTCACAACTTTTTTACATGGGTGGTATTTCTGTTATCAGTCAGAATATCAGTGCATTTATTTGAAATCGAGTAACGATATAATATTTTTTTACAATGTTATGAATCATGATCTCTTCAGTGTAATGAGGACTCGATTTGTTTAGTATCGATCCAGATCAGCAGTACGGTCTAAAATAATTCTTTTCTCGTCTTACTGATCTTGATTCTATCGAATCTCTAGTATTCTTTTGAATAACGAACCAATTGTTTAGTTACTTAGAGTAGTACTGTGGAGGTTAATGAAAAATAGATAGTTAATTTTTTACCCCTAAGAGTGCTAAGAGCAGTAAGTTGAATTAATAGAATGTTGTTCTTATTTGTTTACGATATCTAAAAGGAGAAGTTCCATATGGAGCGGACAACGTTTCCTATTCTCTTTTGTTTCTACGACAGACAGAAAAGGAATTAATTTGCTACGCATACCAACTATTTGTTACCTTTTAAATCGGAATTCACTGTTTGTTTTATTGTCTTTTGTGTTATGTAGACCTTGGAAAGTAACGCAATTGCTTGAAACGTTGTACATCGTTAATAAAAATCTACAAAACAATGTATTAATAAAAAGAGCGAAAATCTTATTAAATAAACAAAATTGTCTGCCTCTTCGTAACATCTGAGTAAGACTGATCATGATTAGCGTAGCAGTGTTAATTTCTAAAGAAGATGGTTCTGACTACAAACGATCAAAATTATATTATAGGACGATACATACTATACTTTACCCAAGTGGATAAACATAATTGTCATATCGATTGTCCAAGGGAGCTTTTTTGACTTTATAATTATATCTACGAAGAATATTGTGTTTTAAGACCCTTTGCTATGACGGAAGTATTTGTTGTAGATTCCGAATATATGATAATTGGAATAAAGAAAAGACGTAAACTGAATGTAATCAAATATAATGAATTCAAAGTACGTAGATGAGGGCGAAGATGTAGATGCAGAGAATGGTGAGAGAGGAGCAGTTGAGTTAGTGTGCTCGAAAATCTTGACACAGTTAATAAATACTAATAAATTCTATAGAGGAAATAAAGTATAAAAAATAATCCCAGTACTGGATAGTAAAAATATTACACTTTGTACCGTACGCTTAGGGATGTACCGAGCCCGAGCCTCTCGGGCTCGGGTGTCAGAATTGATGTGGGAGTGGGTCGGTGTGTGGGTGAAAATAGTGAGTGAGAGTGAAAAGGATAGTACCCGCACTCATCGCACCCACATCTACACCCACACCCACACCCTCAAGATACGTCTTGTGCGAGTTGAGTATGTTTATAGGTATTGCTTCTTTTAGCTCAGATCCGCACACTCACAGGAAAAAGATATCCTAAATTGGTAGCAAACTTATCATGTTTATTTTCATATACGTACTGACGAATAGTACAAATAGTTAAAAGAAAAACATATTTTAAATTGAAACGAAACTTACCATATTTATTATAATATTTATACTAAGGAATAATACAAATAACTAAACGAGAACTAAGAAAGAAAATTTTCTGAGCTGAAAAAATATTTAACATTCTTTTTTTCATATCTATATTGAAGAATATTACAAATAAATAAAAAAGTAAAAGACAAAGATATTTTAAATTGAAAAGTAATTTACCATATTTATTTGTATATCCATATTGAAGAACGCTAGAAATAACTAAACGAGAAACAAGATGAGAATATTTTAAATTGAAAAGTAATCTACCATGTTTGTTTTCATATTTATATTGAAGAGTACTACAAATAAATAAAAAAGAAATAGGAAGATGATAATGTAAATAGAAAAGAACCTTGTTGTGTTTGTTTTTAAATTTATTCTGAAGAACAGTAGAAATAACTAAAAAGGATACAAGAAGAGCATCTTTTACATCGTAAAGAAATTTATCTTGTTCGTCTTTGATATCTATATTCAATAATAGTAGAAATAAATTAAAAAAAAAACAAGATTATGTTCTAAATTCAAAGGAAACTTTTCATGTTTGTTTTCCTATCTATATTCATGAAGAGTACGAATAAGTAAAAGAGAAACAATAATAGATATTTTAAATTGAAAAGTAAGACACTATGCTAAACAACTAGTTTCTTTTTGTAAATATTCACACTATAAAAATACTGTTGATCATTCTTCCTTGTATCTATCCGTCTATAAACTATACCAGAATTATTTAGCTATTCTTCTATCTGAAATAAATATTCTGCGCAATTCCTCGATTATATGTAAACAACTTTAGTTTTCACATGCGAGACCTTGAATTTAATAATTTCTTTCTTCAATATATAGTTTTATCATTAAACTCAAGTATTTCATTATTATTTGCACTGAAAATAATTATTTCTCGTTTTGAATAAGGACAAATTTTGTACAATACAACAAAATATTTTCATATTTATTATAAAAGTACCTTCACACACCGATATTTTTATTTCCTACAGATCTGTGTCATTTCGTCAAGTATATTTTTCTATAAATTGTGTGAAAGATTAACGCATTACTATCATCCTCATCCTAAGATACACAAAATCAATTTTAAAATGTGAAATTCGAGTTTTATATATGTATATAATTCGAGTAAATCTAGGCCAAATCAATCTCGTTAGTAGAGATAATACCTGATCTCGTCAAATATTTATTTTTTTAATTGATAAAACTACAGTATGAATATAGGACATGTCAGTTACGAGTTTGACATTTTAAAGTTCGATGTTCTTAAAACAGTTTTTCTATTTTTATTCTCTTCTTTTACGAACTATGTAATAAAGCTATTTCACAAGTATTCTTCTTATCAAGTTTGTATATCCGTTCACTTCAAATCTTAAAAAAAAATATTCTTTAAACATGAAATTGCGCATTTGTTAATAACAGAAACTTAATTTGAAAAAAAAACAATTAACATGATATGATATATTTTATCTTTCATTACTTTTCTTTTAATACGTCAGAAGAGAAATACATCTTTAAGGAAACAGAAAGCTAAAAAATATAATTTAAAGTCATTTCAACGAATCAAAATAGACCTTATCCTAAGAAAAAAAAAATCTTTTTCTATTTTCTATTTTTAATAAACACTCTCTAGCGAGATGTATAATAAGAATACAGTAGTTGAGTTATTTGTTGTCAGTTTGAAAAAACAGGTTCTCTTCAAACGATAACTTTTAACAACAAGAACAGTTTTTTGGTATGTATTAGTTTCTTCTGCAAGTACATCACTGTTTCATCGTACTCCAAGTAGATACCGATAACTTTCTCTAAAAACTGAAACAAAAGAAGACATTATATAGATGTATCAGAAGAATGATTATTATATTCATTAGTTATTCATCTGATACATACGCACACTCATGCGATCATATAAACTTGATTGATATAACATTTATACGAAGATTTTTCTAAGTTTTATTCAATTATCATATACTAATTCATAATTTGTTTGATATTAATTTTAGCTTATCATTCATCGATAAAATCGAGCCATTTATTGGACATTCTGGCATTGATATTCTCATTGAATAATAAATAGTATGTATATTTCTTTTTTGTTTCTTTTCTATAGAAATATAAATCCATTGAGCTTCACTTTATTCACCAGATATTGAAAAATCATTGAAACAGTTTCTTTCCAAATATTTCCGCAAAGATAAATGACTGAATTGTAACTCTATCCTGTATCTTCTTTGAATGCGATAATAATGATCTACTCGTGTTATCTATATAGTTATATCGACGTCCTCGTTATTCCTTTCTTTGCTAGTTATACGTCATGAAATTTTTCTTTCGTGTTTCAGTCCAAATATGGTTTTCTCGACTAGGATTTGATTACAGTTCGATGAGAAACTTTTTGAGAAAAATTTAAAGAAGAAAAAAATACGAAAAGAGAGATTACTCAAAATGAGCTGTTATTTTACTGATCTACAAAGATCTTTTGCTTTAAAAATACCATCAAAAGTCGTTTGAACTACTGAAAACTATTAGCAACCATCGTTTTCATTAATAAAGATGTCAATTTTGTGTATTATTTTAGTGACAAACATTGCTAATTATCTTTCTCAATTATACCGAAAAATTAAGTTTTATGTTCAAAATTTTAACTTATTTCCATCGATTCCACCATCAACCAATGAACGTCAACTTCAGACTGAACGAATATCAACCAGAATATTTCTTTATCTATTAATCTTATTTTTGTTTATCCTTCTCTTATACAATTCTTTGATTAATGTTACACAAACTGTGAATGTCAAAGCACCTACAAACACACAATATTTAGAACTATATTCAAAATATCCACAAACATTGATATGCCCATGTAAAGAAATATCCATGAATTATGACACATTTATTTCTATTGAGTATACATTCCATCAAGTATGTACTAGTGTTTTCATTTCCCAAGGTTGGATTGATTTCCTAACTGTAGAATACTATGTGAATGACCTATATATTGATGATTATCGTTTGACAAGTATATTTACATTTCAAACTTTAAGTACATTTTGTGGGCTAGTCAAACAGACCATCTCTAATCGTCTGAGTCAGTTTAATTCAAATCAATATGTTAGTGCATTTGCAATACCATCAGAAATATTTGACCCACAAGTGCAGACCTTGGTAGATCAGTTCAAATTATCAACAACTAATGATTTTTTGTTATCATTGGCTACAATACGAGACACAACTCAAAGTAATGCTTTATTCTCTGCCCAACTAACTAATTATGAAATGTATCTGTTGGGTGGACGTGGTTATGCATATACATATCCAATGTCGTATGGTGACTGTAGTTGTTCCTTGTCAGCTACATGTATTGAGCAATCGTCAATGTTTCGATATTCTAATGGAAGAGTATTATATTCCGTACCTGGTATGTATACTGGATGTTATATAGTTGAATCATTACTTCAATCCAATCTTAAATGTTTTTATAATCAAACTTGTATAAATAAAGTATTATCATATTACGCAACACCTCCGTCAATGAATATAACAGCTCTTGACAACTCATTGCCAAGCAACTTTTTCCCAAACTCAACACTTGAAGAAGTTATTAATGAAATGATGGTTGAACAATTTATTCCATCAGTAATATATAATACTTATTACAATGCATGTCAGCCAACAGAATGTACTTACACTTATCAAACAAGGAATAGTATTATTTATATTGTAACGACACTGATTGGTCTGCTTGGTGGTTTAATAACAGTATTGAAATTGATCATACCACCAGTAGTGATGTTTATAAGAAAAAAGCAAGAACGATCACAACTAGACATTGGTAAGAGATACAATAATTTCTTAAGATTACTTTATGCTTCCTTAGATGCTAATACTTCTTATTTTTTCTAATGATAATTTGCCTAAGCATTTATCAAGAGTATGAGTGTATAATAGAGTGAAATAATAAATATAGTTTTCTTATCTTGAAATTAACGTACAGTGTAACTACATCTATAGCTATTTCAACAATAGATTAAATCTCTTTCCTGTATACTAATCATTGAGTTTTAACCAGGTATAACTTTCATAGAATAATGTGAATAAACATATCTTATGATTTTATCTTCATAGATATAATATTAGATGAATCATGTACTTTCAGATGTAAAGTTTTTAATATATTATCCCGAATGAATAAAAAGAAATCTTACTTCAATGTTAAATAATATACTTTGAAAATAGACTAGTGAGTAGAGATTGTAGAAAGATATTCATAATAAGCCCGTTTTCTCCATTAGTTAGTGTGTTCACCCGTTTTATTTCCATAACGAAAATTTTCAGAGGATGGTTTTTATTTTAGAAATTATTGAAGGAGAAGAAAGGTATAGCATAGGTCAAAAATTGAAAAATTATTTAATTACATACAATACGTTTCCATCATTTCCACCATCAACCGATGAACGTCAACTTCAGAGTGAACGAATATCAACGAGAGTATACATTATTTTGTTAACTTTATCTTTGGCTATCCTTCTCTTATACAATTCTTTGATTAATATAACCGAAACTGTGAATGACAAAGCACCTACAATGACAAAATATTTAGAGTTATATTCAACATATCCACAAACATTAATATGCCCGTGTAAACAAGTATCCATCAGTTATAATAGATTTCTTTCTATTGAATATAGATTCCATCAAGTATGTACTAGTGTTTTTGTTAAACAAGATTGGATTGATTATCTTTCCACATCCTACGGGAGCGATGACGTATATCTCGATGACTTTCGTCTGACAAGTTCTTTTACATTTCAAGCTTTGAGTGCTCTTTGTCAGTTAATCAATCAAACTGTCTCTAATCGTCTGAGTCAGTTTTATTCAAGTCAATATGTTAGTGCATCTGTAATACCATCAGAAATATTTGACCCACAAGCGCGGACATTGGTAGATCAGTACATATCGTCAACGACTACTGATTTTTTGTTATCATTAACTACAATACGAAACACAACTCAAAGTAATGCTTTATTCACTGGCCTACAAACTAATTATTATTTCATTACACAAAATGATACACAATATCCAGATCCGTATGTAGTAGCGTACGGTAACTGTAATTGTTCATCTTCACCTAAATGTGTTACACAATCTAGTATTTACAATTACCCTGATCCAACGATTTTATTAAGTGTACCTGGTATTTATCTTGGATGTTATGTGATTGAATCATTACTTCAATCCAATCTTGAATGTTTTTATAATCAAACATGTATAGATCAACTACAATCATATTTCTCATCGACTTCTTTCATGGATATAACAGCACTTGACGAATCATTGTCAGTTAAATTTCAGAAAAACTCAACAATTGAAGCAGTTGTTGATCAGTTAATGATGGAACAATGGAATCAAACAATAATGTATGATCGATATTTCAATGCATGTGAACCATTCGAATGTACTCACACACATCAGACTAAGAATCAACTGATTTACATTGTTACGACACTGATTGGACTGCTAGGCGGTTTGATAACAATGTTAAAACTAATTGTACCACGAGTAGTAAGATTTATAAGGAGAGAACAAGTACAACCAACACCACCGATTGGTAAGAGAATATCAGAAAAGACTATTTATCTTTCTATATATATATATGTGTGTGATGTAAACTAAAAGATCTATAAATCGAGACTTGTAGTTTTAGTGGAAGTATGAAATTTCAGTAAACTTATGACTGGTGCTGTTCTGAAAAGAAGTGAATCAGACGAGATGAAATAGTACTAAGTATGATGTTATCTCTCTTAATACCGTATCGTCTCTGTAAATCATATAGCATCCTGTTTATCACTATATGATATATGAAGAACTCATAGTCATAGGACTTTTCAGAGAGCCATGTGTTACTGGGCCCAAAAATTTAAATAGAACTTGAATATAATCAGAAAGATCGATAGAATATGACAATGTCAGCGTTTAGAAAATCACAGGAGTAAGTAGCAAAAACCATAATATTTTCTAATGGTTCATGAAGTTAGAGCGCAATGACATATTGCAGATAAGAAGTATCATTCGAAAGGATGCATACTCGTTAAGAGGAAAGGGTTTCTTAGATTGGCATCTATGCGTTATATCAGACATAACTTTTATGTCAACTCTATGATAAAAGAAAAATGGTTTTTATCCTTTATATTTATTAAGCTTTTGTTTTATTTATTTATTTATTTTTGCAGTGATGACTATTAATGAACGAATTCATTTATTATACGGAAAAGTTAAGTCTTATATTCAAAATTTTAACTTATTTTCGTCAATTCCACCGTCAACCGATGAACATCAGCTTCGAAATGAAAAAATATCCACTAGATTATTCATCATTTTGTTAACTTTATCTTTGGCTGTCCTTCTACTATACAATTCTTTGATTAATGTAACACAAACTGTAAATGTCAAAGCACCTACAATGACAAAATATTTAGAATTATATTCAACATATCCACAAACATTAATATGTCCATGTAAACAAGTATCGATCAATTATGATACGTTTATTTCTATTGAGTATACATTCCATCAAGTATGTGCCAGTGTTTTTGTTAAACAAGATTGGATTGATTATCTTTCTAAAAATTATCAAGTTCAAAGTATTTCTACTTTTGACTTTCGATCGATGGGTCCATATTTATTTCAAGCTTTAAACGCATTTTGTGAGTTAATCAATCAAACTGTCTCTAATCGTCTGAGCCAGTTTAATTCAAGTCAATATGTTAGTGCATCTGTGATATCATCAAATGTGTTTAAATCTCAAGCTCAGTCATTAGTAGATCAGTTCAAATTATCAACAACTAATGATTTTTTGTTATCATTAACTACAATACGAAACATGACTCAAAGTAATGCTTTACTTGCTGGCCCACTGACTAACTATGGATTTGAGACAGACATTGGTGATGATGATCCATATATCTACCCGCAAAAGTACGGTGTATGTAGTTGTGTGGCTTCAGCCATATGTTCTTATCCATCCAGAGTTTGCGGTTATGATGGGTGTACTACCACACCATTATTTGTGCCAGGTTTCTATATGGCATGTTATATAATTGAATCATTACTTCAATCTGATCTTCGATGTTTTTATAATCAAACATGTATAGATCAACTACAATCATATTTCATATCGTCGTCTGCAATCGGTTTCACATCTCTTGATGAATCGTTACCAAGTCGTTTTTTGCCAAATTCAACATTTGAAGAAATAGTTAATGATTTAATGATTGAACAATGGAATCCATCGGACCAATCAGTAATGTATGAGCGATATTTCAATGCATGTCGACCATCAGAATGTACTTACACACAAGAGACAAAAAATAGTATTATTTACATTGTAACAGCACTGATTGGACTGGTAGGTGGTTTGATAACAGCTTTGAAACTGATAGTGCCTCGGTTGGTTAAATTCACTGCATTTTGCATTCAAAAATGGAGAATGAGAAATGCTGCAGTCATACCAGTGATGAATACATAACTATTCTTATACAAAGGAAGAATATAGTACAAATCAAAAACTTATGTGTATTCTTAAAAACAGTTATTATCATTATCCGTATCCGATTGAAATGTAAAATACAAAATAACCATTCTCACTTTGATAAAAACTATATATATTTGAATATCTCTTCGATTCACCAGCTATAAATTAACCAATATTTTATTATATCATTTTAGTTTGCTTATAGTCTCGTTCATTTTGCTTTTAGAAATTTCTAAATATATACAAGTAGCGCTCATCCGATGAGCCTTACCAGGATCTACTCATCATGAAATCTTAATCGAGCATGGTTTATTTTTTATCTGAAGAATAAACGATCAGTCGTAGTCGTATGCCTCATTTTTTGAAAAACTCACCTAATTCAAAGAGATTAAGGATTTGTGATGCCGCATATTTGAGAATTTTCACACTTTAAAAACAATCTGGGCAAAGCAACCTTAATATTCCTGAATAATCAGCAAAATTGATGCTATGAAAAAAATTGATCGTCTTTCCAAAGTGTATACCCTAAGATGGTTCGCTAAACATTTATTCTAGGGTGAGGGTGAGGGTGTGGGTGCGAGTAATGAAATCATTAATTCATACCCACAGCCACTCCTATTGTCATACACATTTAAAATATTCAACATTTCTTCATTGGAAAAGAGAATACCAAAGTGTAAGTAATGTTTACTTTTTTTGTTAAAATACACGTGTAATCAATTACTGATACGATACAAACTCATCTAGTTATATAGACCCTTTTTATTCTTTCTCTTTCTTTTGTGTTTAGAAAAAATAACAAAATAGATTGTATTTGTCGTATTTTACACGTAATATTACATTTGCACCCACTTCTCCGTTGACTATAGATGGTTTACCAAATTTTTTATCAATGGGATATCATCGTTTACTCGATAGAGCTACTTATACGTTTGCCGAACTTGGCTTAGCTGATCGACTGGTGAATGCTCTACCTAATTAAGGTCTTACTGCTCATGAACTCATTAGTAATGAAGAAATACAATGGAATGCTGATATATTACATCGTGTATTATGTGCTTGTACTCATGTAGGTCTTGTTGAACGAGTTAAGAACACTATCGATGATAAGCATTTCATTCCCACTTCATCAGGTCGAATGCTTACATCAGATCATCCATCACATGCTCGTGATTATGTGAGATATTATTTAGGACCAATGTCTAGTAATATTGGATATCAGTTAATTAAACTGGTTCGTGGTCAATGTAAGGATACTGGTTTTGCCGAAGCTTCGGGTGGTCTCGATTTGTATACATATCTGAAACAACCAGAAAATCAAGATTATCTACTTCTTTACAATGGAGTTATGACTTGTTTATCTACATACACAGGTGATAAACTAGTAACAGGTGTAGATTTTGGTCGCTTTGAAACTTTAGTCGATTTAGGTGGCAGTCGTGGTACTTTTCTTGCTGAAATTCTTCAGCATTATCAAAATATTCGACGTGGATTTATATTTGATTTACCACAGTGTATTGCCGAAGTGAAGAGTGCTGATGAGTTTGAATCACGTCAGATTACTTCAAGTCGGTATACATTTGTTGCTGGTGATATGACTGATTCATCAACAATTCCTCAAGCTGATGCTTATATACTTAAATATATATTACATCTTTTCAATGATGAGATATGCGTGAATGTATTATCATCAATTCGTAAAGCAAATGAACAGCGTACTGACACATTACTAACTATATTTATTGTCGAACATATCATTTTCTCTGATGGAACGGTAAGCAATTGGCAAGCACACGGTTTTGATATAGGTATGGCTGCCTATGGTGGTGCACGAGAACGAACAGAACAAGAATATCAAGTATTACTTGAAAAAGCTGGATTTCAATTAAAAATACTCTATCCAATTCAAGCACCAGATTCAATAATTGAAGCTATTTTTATCAAATGAATCCATAGAAGGAAATTTGAGGGTGTGGTTGTAGGGCTGTTTTGTTTTTCAAAGAATTTATTATTATACTAAGACTCTGTTCATTTGTTTTGTTTTTTTATCATAAAAGTTAAAGTACAGTCTACGACAAAAGTTTAAGTTAATAAAGATTGTAATAATTCAACTGTTTAAATGTGATCAAATATATATATGTATATCTCATTTGGATGATAAACATAATTCTTATATATTTTTGAAATTGGAAAATGCAGAAAGTTTATCAAAGACGCTTAAATATTTCCTTAACAAAAACAAATTATTAACTGAAAAAAAGAAGATTTGAAATTCTTTTTTGTGAAATAAATTGACATTAGTATATATATATTCAAATATAATATGTATACCGTATTATATATCATTACCGTAGCTACAGTTTTCAATCCAATATTTGATCACTTGCTTGTAATTTATATATCACTATAACAGAAAACTATTACACCTAATTACACACCATTATCGATAGAATTGTATTCTACAGATTGACATTTTCTCGTTAATACTTATCTCGTAATTGAGACAATCTTCGAAAATACTAATACTGTTTATAAAAATCTCAGAAAAGAAGTTTGTATCGCATTATTTAACGCGAATCTACTGCTACAAACTAAACAGCAGTTTGATATCGAACACATTAGATTACATTATTTCCTCAACATTTTTACTTATTTAGTTTCATTTCACAAAAATAATTGTAAGTACATTATTCAGTTTTATCATGCATCATAGATTGAACAACTGAATTTTTTTAGAATGTTCTTTTTTCTAAATTTACTGAACGGATAATACATAAAATTAAAATTATAAATCATTATTTATAGTTTTTGTTTTAATTAAATTTTCATGCATCAAGAGCTTTGACGTACTTCCCGTTCTATATGAAAATCATGCACTTATTTTAGTGCAATTTATATTATGTCCTTTTTTTACTTACCTTGCAGTATCGTCATTTATTATATAAACTCCATCAGCCACGTAAATATATTTTTCTTTTTATGTTTTAGTCAGCTCCATACTCGAGTTGGATAACTATTTATTCTAATAAAGGTAAATATTTCTACGTAGAAAAAAAGATGTTCCGAAATACATCTACTATATCAGAATAGTTAATCAACTATTCTATTTTCGAAGACAAATTTTTACTCCGTTGATAAAATGACATATTCAGTTAATCTTATTTTTATTTCTTTCATGTTCGTAAGAAACAAATCTACCACCTTTTACATTGTCAAAAGCAGAAATTGATAGAAGTTTTATTGCAAGAAATATTTTTGATACAAAATTATATTTCAGCTTTAATTAAGTATGTAACAATAAAAAGAAAGATTGCACAATATAATCGTTATATTTATTTAATACAAGGGCCAGTTTTACTTTCTAAAGAAGAAGCATAGACTGAGGAAACTAAATAGAGACATTGAAACTCAAAATAATTTATCTCCATTTATTTTTTTAAAAATATCCTTTTGAATATTAAAAAGCAAAACAAAAGCAGAAGAGAGAAGCCTTTGAAAGATGTTTCTAATAATTTCATAGTAGTTTTTATCTGCTATTCTATTACATCGATATTTGATAAAACAACGATTACGTTTTATTTCTCATATTTAGATTCTATTGACAAACACATATACTAAACAAATCCTAATTATATTTCTATTATGTCATCTACTGATTCTACAATCAATCAAATAAATACAGCCGTAACAACAATTGTCCTTTCTTTATCAATAATCAATTTTATATTCGGTGGAATAGGTCTCATATTCAATGTTCTTATTTTTACACGACCCAGTCTGCGTAGTGAACCATGTTCACTCTATTTTTTATTTTCAACATATTTTAATTTATTTTTTATATTTGTAATCGTGCCTGTACGTGTTGTCTCAGAAGGTTTCAATTTAGACTTGGCTAATTTCAATTTAGTAATATGTAAAACTGAACTTTTCACTTTCTATGTTGCACGAACAATACCATGCTGGTTGATTGCTTTCGCGTGTGCTGATCGATATTTTAAGAGTTCAACAATAATAAATATTCGTCAAATAAGCTCATATAAAATAGCAAAAATTGCTATAGGAATCATCATCATTGTGATCATCATTTTGTACTGTCACATGTTGATTTTCTATAGCATAAGCTATTTATATGATCGATTTGGTAATCTGACACCGGCATGTTATGGTCAAAAGGGTATTTATCGTACTTTCATTGCATTGTGGGCTATGCTTTTGTATTCACTCTGTCCATCTTTAATAATGCTTGTTTTTGGTTCTCTAACACTCAATAATTTGCGTCGACATCGTGAAGTTATTGCAAGGGTTCCTCGCAATAACCATACTATTCGACGTACGGATGCTCAGCTCTCACGTATGTTAGCGCTTCAGGTATTGGTAATTGTGATTTCTACTTTACCATTTTCTATATATCGACTCTATGTATCATTTACCGTCAATATAACTAAGGATCCTCTACGACTTGCCATAGAAAATTTGGCTTTTGAAATTGCTAATATGTTAACACAATTTGCTCACTCGACTAGCTTTTATTTATATACACTAACAGGTACCATTTTTTGTAAGGAATTTTACAAGATTATTCGACGACATCGAGATCAAAATCGAATTGGTTTTACTAGGGCTCCAGATGGAACACATCAAATATCAATTATGCCTAACCATCGATAATTCACTTTCATTCGTTATGATTCTGTTTGCTTAAATTAACTTCTTGACAACTTCTATAAATATTACGACAATTCATGATTAAAAGATCTATTACATTTTATTTTAATTAAATAATCTCAATTAAAAAAATGAAAATTTTTGATCATAAATACTTGATAATACTCAAGTTTTTAAAAGAACTCACATTCAGGCAGTCACTAATGGATTATTACATAGTTTTTATAAAAATAACTATTCATTGAGACGCCCGATGTTTTATTAAAAATTTTCTTCATCTGACAGATAAAGGCAAATCTTTTATTATGAACTATTAAATATGTTACCTGAAGCTTATAAGATGTCTGTATTTGATAAGTTGAGTTGAAAACAATTTTTATATTAATTATTCTAGTAATATACGAAATTTCATTTTTTTATTTAAAATACTTATCTCTTCG